CTTCTTAAAAACTTCCAGTGTTGGAGCATTCACCGCTTCTGGAGGCAGGTTGTTCCACTGGTTAATTGTTCTCACTGTCAGGAAGTTTCTCCTTAGTTCTAGATTGCTTCTCTCCTTGATTAGTTTCCACCCGTTGCTTCTTGTCCTGCCTCCAGGCGCTTTGGAAAATAGCTTGACTCCCTCTTCTTTATGGCAGCCCGAGATATTGGAACACTGCTATCATGTCCCCCCTCGTCCTTCTCTTCATTAAACTAGACATACCCAATTCCAGCAGCCGTTCCTTATATGCTTTAGCCTCCAGTCCCCTAATCATCTTTGTTGCTCTTCTCTGTATTCTTTCTAAAGTCTCAACATTTTTTTTACATCGCGGTGACCAAAACTGGATGCAGTATTCCAAGTGTGGCCTTACCAAGGCATTGTAAAGTGGTATTAACACTTCACATGATCTTGATTCTATCCCTCTGTTAATGCAGCCTAGCAATCTTAATTGTTCTTAACCTCATCCATATGGAGGTTATGCCTTTGAGCCTGGCAAAGTGGAAGCTTCTCTCCAAGATTAGTTTCCATCCATTGTTTCTTCTCTGCTTTCTGGTGCTTTGGAAAATAAGTTGACCCCTCTCTTCTTTGTGGCAGCCCCTTAAATACTGGGATGCTGCTGTCATGTCTCCCCTACTCCTTTTCTCCAGACTGGCCCAATTCCTGCAATCGTTCTTCATATATTTTTGTCTCCAGACCTTTAATCATGCTATTTCATTTATTTATTTCATTTATTTAATTCTATCTTCACAATGAGTTCTAATTTGTTCCTGTAAGGATCCTTTATGAGGAAAATAAGATTCACAAACATTCATCAAGTGACACATTTCTAATTTCACCCATAAGGATTTTTTTCTATACAGGTAATCCTCCACTTACAACAGTTCATTTAGTGACCATTCAGTTACAATGGCACTGAAAAAAGTGACTTATGACCATTATGGAATTCCCATGGTCACGTGGTCAAAATCCAGATGCTTGGCAATTGACTCATATTTATGATGGTTGCAGTGTCCCGGGATCATGTGATCACCTTTTGCAACCTTCTGACAAGCAAAGTCAATGGGGAAACTAAATCCACTTAATAAGCATGTTACTAAATTAACAACTGCAGTGATTCACTTAACAAATGTGGCGAGAAAGGTCGTAAAATGGAGCAAAATTCACTTCACAAATGTCTCACTAAGCAATAGAAATGTTGGGTTCCGTTGTGATTGTAACTAGAGGACTATTTGTATTCCATTTATGTAGAATACATGTTGTGAATATGCTTACATGTTATGAGCTCACTACTCAACCTAAAACTCTTATATCCATCAATTATCCTTCTTGTGCAATCATTTTATGCAAAGCAAGTTATGACCCCGAAACTCTTTCACCGCTTCACACATTTATATTATTTCTTTCTTGTATGGAGCTTTTTATGGGAAATTAGGTTACTACTCTTGCTGAAACTCTTTCCACACTCCGAACATTTATATGGTTGCTCCACAGTATGAAGCCTTTTATGGGAAATAAGACTACTGCTGTGACTGAACTCTTTGCCACATTCTGTACATTTATAGGGTCGTTCTCCTGTGTGGATCCTTTTATGGGAAGTAAGATTACTGCTTTTGCTGAAGCTCTTTCCACACTCCGAACATTTATATGGTTTTTCCCCAGTGTGGAGCCTTTTATGGAAAACAAGGCTGCTGCTCTGTTTGAAACTCTTTCCACATTCCATGCATTTGTATGGTTCCTCTCCAGTGTGGATCCTTTTATGGTAAGTAAGAGAACTGCTCTGGCTGAAGCTTTTGCCACATTCCATACATTTATATGGTTTCTCTCCAGTATGGATCCTTTTATGGGAAGTAAGTTTACTGCTCTGTTTGAAACACTTCCCGCATTCAGTGCACTGATATGGTTGCTCTCCAGTGTGGACTGTTTTATGTAAAGCAAGGGAACTGTTGTGGCTGAAGCTCTTTTCACACTCCATGCATTTGTATGGTTTCTCTCCTGTATGAATTATTTTATGTGAAGTAAGCTGAGCTCTCCATTTGAAACTCTTTCCACACTCCAAACATTTATATGGTTCCTCTCCTGTGTGGAGTCTTTTATGGGAAGTGAGATCACTAATCTGCTTAAAACTTTTTCCACAATCCATGCATTTATAAGGTTTTTCCCCTGAATGGATTCTTCTATGGGAAATAAGGGTACCGGTACGCTTGAAGCTCTTTCCACAATCCATGCATTTATAAGGTTTTTCCCCTGAATGGATTTTTCTGTGGGAAATAAGGGTACCGGTATGGTTGAAGCTCTTTCCACACTCCATGCATTTATATGGTTTCTCTCCTGTGTGAAGTCTTTTATGCAAAGTAAGTTCACCTCTCCATTTGAAGCACTCTCCACATGCCATGCATTTGTACAGTCTCTCTTCTGTATGAACCATTTTATGTGAAGTAAGCTGACCTCTCCATTTGAAACTCTTTCCACACTCCAAGCATTTATATGGTTCCTCTCCTGTGTGGAGTCTTTTATGGGAAGTAAGAGAACCGCTCTGCCTGAAGCTTTTGCCACATTCCATACATTTATATGGTTTTTCCCCTGAATGGATCCTTTGGTGTGAAGTGAGGTTACCACTGTTCTTAAAGCTCTTTCCACACTCTGTACATTTATATGATTTCTCTCCTGTGTGCAGGCTTTTATGCGAAGTGAGGGAACTGTCTTCATTGAAGCTCTTTCCGCCCTCGGTGCATTTATATGGTTTCTCTCCTGAGTGGAGTCTTTTATGGGAAATAAGGGAACTACTTTCTTTAAA